GATTAAGACACCCTTAAAGCTACTTGTGCAGCATTTCAGGCTGCAGATCTCTGTTTGCATGCACATTGCAACTTTGGTTTCCTAGTGCTGTCTCTCGGCAGTTCTGGGAGCTTAATGGCGTTCACAGACACTTTCCAAAGCTGTATAGAAATGCACCTCACAGCTGGCACCGTGCTGGGCCCTTCTTGAAAAAATTTCCTTGTTTTACTGATTGATACCACAATGCTGAACCACACAGTCAACCTAGTGCCCAGATTAAATGTACAGGAATGCAGAAAAGAGTCCTTCCCTGACAGCATGAATGTTTTTTCCTGCATTATGGCTCTAACTGCAAAGGAAGAACCTGCCATTTTCATACTGAAAGTGAAAGTGTGATGTCTTCAGAACCCTAAGATGAGTTGAGCCACATGATGTGTTGTAGTTCTTGGCGTAGTACTTGTCTGTCTATCTCAGGACTACAACTCTTCTGGAAATAAATACTCAAACAACTCTTCGGATTTTCATTTGACTTCTAGAATCTCTATAAGTTATCAGAAAAAAAATTTCAAAGTGGCATCTCAGTAGTATGACTTTAAGAAGGAAGGAGAGGCTGAATATAGAAAAGACTGAGGCTCTAACTTTCTACGGTCTCTATAAATGTATTTCCATGGTTTTATCGAACTTGGCTCCATCAAAGAATCCAGCACACTCCTAATGTCAAAATGTGGCTTCAGTTTCTAGTCTAAACACGAACATGATCTTTTCCTCTCAAGTAATATTAGCAGACAAAAGAGATGTTGATTGTAATTTTTGAAGTATAAATGTGGAGCTAGCCTCGGGCCGAATTTTAATTTGAGAAAGATTTTTCTTGCTGGTTCCATCTACTCTCTATTCCAACTTATGTATTACATTACTTTGTGCAAAAACCTAAGGCTTCAGAATAGTTCTCTGCACAGAAGGTGAAGTTTCTGCTTTTAGTTATGTGTTGCACAGCGAATGAGAAAGAAGCATAATGCCATAAATAAAGCTACAGCTTACATCGGTGAGACATATCTCAACTTTCATGCAATTCATTTGGAAAGTGAGATAAGACAAGAGGGGGCACTGAGGACATCAGGGCAGGTGCACATCGCAGCACTCAAGATCAATCGTATCTTTCTATTTTTGTTTATTTTATTTTGTTATTTTATGTGTATGGGTTTGGAACTTCACATATGCTTCTGTATCGTGAGTGTTAAATGATCACGGAGGCCAGAAGAGGGTGACAGATCCCTGGAACTGGAGTTGTAGATTGATGCAAGCTGTTGTGTGGGTGCTGGGAACTGAACCCCAGTCTTCTGGAGAAGCTGCCAGTTCTTTTAATCACTGAGCAATCTCCCTACTGCCTTATAATCAAAGTACCTAAAACATTAAATAAAAAAACCCTAAAATTGTAGATGTTGATTGGATAGTACGTAATGGGGGGATGCATTTCTGATTGTTTTTACCTGCTGAGATAATTTATTAAATATTGATAAAACTGATATCTTAAAATCACTTTAAGCATGAATAATTCAGTCTTTTTTTCTGAGACAGGCTTTCTTGATGTAGTCTTGGCTTTCTTGATATTCACTCTATAGACCAGGCTGGCCCCAAACTTACAGAGCTCCACCTGCCTCTATCTCCTGAGTGCTTTGGGATTAAGGCATGTACCACTACACCTGGACTGAATAATTCAGTCTTCACAACTGACCATCTTTCACACTGTAAATTGTTTCTTTCATTGACAATGCTCCTCAGCACATCAAAGTAATTTTTCCTGGCATAATGAACCTTGAGAGATATTCTAAGTTGTGGCCCACTGGATGTGTATAGTCACTGAGAGCAAGGTGGATTGGCAGCAGCAACTGATCATCAGAAAGCTAATCTGGTAATATTTTAGTGGAAATAAATACTAGTACAGTTACAGAGACTGAAGGATCATTTACAAACGGTTACAGACAAGAAGCATTGATGAGGGGTGCAGAGAAATAAAAGGTGGGAGAGAACATGAGAAGATCTACACTTTTGCATGGTGGGGCTAGAAGAACAAGCTCTTGGGTGGGCAATTGGGCTCTGTGGAAACTGATACAAAAATGTATATGTCTACTTTTTTTAAAAATTACATCATTGCCTATGAGTCCACTGGGGGCTAAATCCAGACCCAGTTGTCCACCACATTACAGCCATGTGAGCCACTGACTTCGCACTGTTTTTGCTTTTAAATCTGTTTTTACTTTTTCTAAACAACCTCCTCTGTTTTCTTACAGTGATAAAATTTGGAACAATATCAATTATAGTCACTGTCTTCTTTGGATTTTGTGCAAGATATGTGCTCTCAAAGACAAAGGAGAGTAGAAGCTACTGAGACAAAAACAAAGACATTTAATGGTTGTAAATGAGAGAAACTTGGTATATTTCCTGAGGAATGGTACCAAAATGAGTTTAGATTCGAAAATCCGCATTTCCTGAAGAGTTCTCCAGGAAGATCCCATTAGCCTGATTATAACTTGCAGTATGCCTGCGATGAGAGAAATATTGTCCCAAGGGAAACTAGTAATTTCAGAATGCCTCACTTCTCAATTTCAAGTCCTGAATGACAATGACTCTTAAGTCCAACACATTTGTAATAAGCCTAAGTGACAAACTGCACCTTATCTTATAAACTAGAGTGTGAGTGGTAAATTCAACCAATTTTTACCATCAAATTGTGGCAATGTATAAGATCTGTATTATATTCTATGAGGATTATATGAAGTGCTACAAAGAAGGTATATTTGGTATTATAGAACAATCAGACATTTTACTAAATAGCACTTCAGCAAAGCCCTTCATTAAATGAGATTAGTCAGAACCTATAAAATGTTCACAGAATCTAGATGAAATTACAGATATTCTTTCTTAAGGTCCAGTTCCCTGATGGAGACCTAGGAAATGGCCTTCACTATCTTAATAAATGCCACGGGAACTTTAGAGACATTAACGCATTCTAATTGATACTGGAGTACCACCTTAAATCTTAAGCCTTGAAGTTGATCTCAGTTCTGTGAATAGTCATGGGAGCAATGTTTTTGGGCCGATAGGGTAGCTGCTTCTGTTGACTACAGTCCACTGTTGATCACTCAGTTGACAATGGAGGCCATTGCTTCTTAAACATCATTAAGGAAGTTTATTGCAAACAACCTAGATGGCCCTCAACAGAAGAAAAGATAAAGAAAATGTGGTACATTTACACAGTAAAATATTGCTCAGTAGCTTTAAAAAATGACAACATGAAATTTGCAAGCAAACAGATGGAACTAAAAGAAAATCACCTGGAGTGAGATAACCAAGACAGAAAGATATATATGGTAGGTATTCCTGTCTATGTGGAAATTAGCCCTTAAATAAATAACTAAGCTACAATCCATTGACTCAGAGATACTAGGTATAAAGGTAGGGACTGGCAGGGAACACATGAACCCCACAGGGAAGGGAAAATAAAATATATTTTATAGGTAAAGTGAAGGTATAAGAGATAGGAATGGGAGGATCAGGGAGGCAAAAGGAGGGGAGATTGAGTTGAAGGAGGAAATTCTGGGAGAGACACCTAGAGCTGAGAGGCACTTGAAGGGTGTGATGAAAACCTCATGAAATGGAAAATTTTTGAAATATAAGATAGTCTTCCCTTCAAAAAGAGCCCTGGGCCAGATGGTTTCAGCGCAGAATTCTACCAGACCTTCAAAGAGGTGCTAACTCCAATCCTCCTGAAACTATTGCACAAAACAGAAACATAAGGAACATTACCAAAATCATACTATGAAGCCACAGTCACCTTCATACGTACACCACACAAAAACCCAACACAAAGAACTTCAGACCTATCTCTCTTATGAACATTGATGCAAAATACTCAATAAAATACTGGCAAAATGAAGCCAAGAACACATAAAAGATATCTTCCACCATGACCAAGTAGGTTTCATTCCAGGCATGCAAGGGTGGTTCAGTATATGGAAATTCATCAATATAATCCACCATATAAACAAACTGAAGCAGGAAAACCACATGATCATCTCCTTAGATGCCAGAAAAGCATTTGACAAAATCCAACACCCATTCATGTTTAAAGTCTTGGAGAGATCAGGGATAAAAGGCACATACCTAAACATAGTAAAGGCAATAGACAGCAAGCCTATAGCCAACATCAAACTCAATGGAGAGAAACTTAAATCAGTCTCACTGAAATCAAGGACAAGACAAGGCTGCCAACTCTCACCATATCTCTTCAATTTAGTACTTGAACTCCTAGCTAGAGCAATAAGAGAACTAAAAAATATCAAGGGGATACAAACTGGAACAGAAGAGATCAAAGTATCACTATTCGCAGGGGATATGATAATTTACATGAACGACCCCAAAAATTCAACCAGAGAACTCCTTCAGCTGATAAACACCTTCAGCAAAGTAGCAGGATACAAAATTAACTCAAAAAAATCAGAAGCCCTCCTGTGTACCAAAGAGAAAAGGGCCAAGAAAGAAATTAGGGTAACAACACTCTTCACAATAGCCACTAATAACATAAAGTACCTTGGTGTGACTCTAACCAAGCAAATGAAAGAGCTGTGCAAAAAAAAAAAAAAATGTAAGTCTCTGAAGAAAGAAATTGAAGAAGATATAAGAAGATGGAAAGATCTCCCATGGTCATAGATAAATAGGATTAACATAGTGAAAATGGCTATTCTACCAAAAGCAATTTACAGATTCAATGCAATTCCCATCAAAATACCAACACAATTCTTTATAGACCTCAAAAGAAAAATTATCAACTTCATATGGAGAAACAAAAAAACCAGAATTTACAAAACAATCCTGTGAAACAACAGATCATCTGGAGGCATCTCCATCCCTGATCTCAAGCTGTACTACAAAGCAATAGTAATAAAAACTGCATGGTATTGGCATAGAAACATAATGGTGGATCAATGGAACCAAATAGAAGACCCATAAATAAACCCACACACCTGTGAATACTTGATTTTTGACAAAGCAGCCAAAACCATTCAATGGAAAAAAGACAGCATCTTCAACAAGTGTTGCTGGTCCAACTGGATCTCTACATGCAAACAAACAAAAAGAAAAAAGAAAAAGAAAATAGGTTTATATTTATCACCCTGTACAAAACTAAAGTCTATGTGGATCAAAGACCTCAACACTAAACCAGAAACACTAAATAGGTTAGAAGAAAAAGTGAGGAAGAGCCTAGAACTCATTTGCACAGGAGACAACTTCCTGAACAGAATACCACCAGCACACACTGTAAGATCAACAATCAATAAATGGGACCTCATGAAACTGAAAAGCTTCTGTAAAGCAAAAGACACTGTCATCAGAACAAAACGACAGCCTACAGACTGGGAAAGGATCTTCATCAACCCTGTATCTGACAGAGTGCTGATATCCACAATATATAAAGAAATTAAGAAGTTAAAAAGCAACAAATCAAGGAATCCTATTAAAAAAATGGGTACGGAGCTAAACAGAGAATTCTCTGTAGAAGAATATAGAATGGCAGAGAAACACATAAGATGTTCAACATCCCTAGCCACTAGAGAGATACAAATCAAAACGACCCTGAGATTTCACCTTACACCCATCAGAATGACTAAGATCAAAAACTCAAGAGACAACACATGCTGGAGAGGCTGTGGAGAAAGGGGAACCCTCCTTCACTGCTGGTGGGAATGTAAACTAGTACAACCACTATGGAAATCAATCTGGCGCTTTCTCAGACAATTAGGAATAGTGCTACCTCAAGATCCAGCTATGCCACTCCTAGGCATATATCCAAAAGATGTTCAAGTACACAACAAGAACATTTGCTCAACAATGTTTGTAGCAGCTTTATTTGTAATAGCCAGAATCTGGAAACAACCCAGATATCCATCAATGGAAGAATGGATACAGAAATTGTGGTACTTTTACGCAATGGAATACTACTCAGCAATTAAAAATGAGGAAATCATGAAATTTGCAGGCAAATGGTGGGACCTAGAAAAGATCATCCTGAGTGAGGTATCCCACAAACAGAAAGACACACATGGTATATACTCACGTATAAGTGGGTTCTAGACCTATAGGATAGGATAAATATACTAAAATCTGTACACCTAAAGAAGATAAACAAGAAAGAGGGCCCAGGGTAAGATGATCAATCTTCACTTAGAAAGACAAATGGGATGGTCATTGGATGTAGGAGAAAACAAGTAACAGGACAAAAGCCTACCACTTAGGGCCCCTGAAAGTCTCTATCTAGCAGTGTATCAAAACAGATGCTGAGACTTAAAACCAAACCTTGGGCAGAGTACAGGGGATCATATGAAAGAAGGGGGGAGTTAGTATGACCTGGAGAGGACAAGAGCTCCACAAGGACCAAATATATCTGGGCCCAGGGGTCTTTTCTGAGACTGTTTCTCCAACCATGGATGGATATTACCTAGAACCCTTGCCCAGATGTAGCCCACTGCAGCTCTGATCTAAGTGGGTTCCATCGTTAGAGGAACAGGGACTGTCTCAACATGAACTCAATGGCTGGCTCTTTGACGTCCCCAACCTTGAGGGAGAAGCAGCTTTGCTAGGCCACAGAGGAGGACATTGCAGCCAGTCCTAAAGATACCTGATAAGCTAAGGTCAGATGGAAGGAGAGGAGGACCTCCCCCATCAGTGGACTTAGAAAGGGACAGGAAGGAGATGAGGGAGAGAGGGTGGGATTGGGAGGGAATGAGGGAGGGGGCTACAGCTGGGATACAATGTAAATAGATTGTAATTAATATTAAATAAATAAATAAATAAAGATAAAGAGTAAAAAAAAAAAAAAAAGAAAAGAACTGGATGTTAGAAGAAGGCAAGTGGTAGGAGGTGGATTTTGGAGGAGTTAGAGGAGTAGAAGGGGTGACTATAACCAGAATACATTCACTATATAAAATTCTCAAAAATTAATGAATATATTAGCTATTAGGGAAATGCAAATCAAAACAACTCTGAGATTCTACCTTACACCCATCAGAATGGCCAAGATCAAAAACTCAAGTGACAACACATGCTGGAGAGGTTGTGGAGAAAGGGGAACCCTTCTCCACTGTTGGTGGGAATGTAAACTTGTACAACCACTCTGGAAATCAATCTGGTGCTTTCTCAGACAACTAGGAATAGCGCTTCCTCAAGATCCAGCCATACCACTCCTAGGCATATACCCAAAAGAGGCTCAAGTACACAAAAAGGACATTTGCTCAACGATGTTTGTAGCAGCTTTATTTGTACTAGCCAGAAGCTGGAAAGAACCCAGATGCCCCTCAACTGAAGAATGGATGCAGAAACTGTGGTACATCTATACAATGGAGTATTACTCAGCAATGAAAAAGAAGGAAATCATAAAATTTGCAGTTAAATGGTGAGACCTGGAAAGGATCATCCTGAGTGAGTTGTCCCAGAAGCAAAAAGATACGCATGGTATATACTCACTCATATAAACATACAACAGAATAAACCCACTAAAATCTGTACATCTAAACAAACTAAGCAAAAGAGAGGACCCTAACTAAAATGCTCAATCCCCATCCTGAAAGGCAAAGAGGATGGACATCAGAAGAAAAAGAAAATAGGAAACAACCTCGGAACCTGCTACAGAGGGCCTCTGAAAGCCAGAAGAAAACAGGAAACAACCTTGGAACCTGCCACAGAGGGCCTCTGAAAGCTTCTGCAGTATAGACTGTCAAAGCAGATGCTGAGCCTGATGGACAACTGATGGGCAGAGTGAATGGAATTTTATGTAAGAAGTGGGAAATAGTAAGAGCTGGAGGGGATGGGAACTCCACAAGGAGAGCAACAGAACAAGATAATTTGAAGACAGGAACTTCCCATAGACTAATGCTCCAACCAAGGACTATTCGTGGAGATAACCTAGAACCCCTGCACAGATGTAGCCCATGGCAGTTCAGTGTTCAAGTGGGTTACATAGTAATGGGAAGAGGAACTGCCTCTGACATAATCTGATTGGCCTGCTCATTGATCACCTCCCCCTGAGGGGGGAACAGACTTACCAGGCCACAGTAGAGGACAATGCAGCCACTTTTGATGAGAACTGATAGACTAAGATCAGAAAGGAGAGGAGAACCTCCCCTATCAGTGGACTTGGGGAGTGGCATGCATGCAGAAAGGCGAGGGAGGGTGGGATCGGGAGGGGAGGAGGGAGGGGCTTATGGGGGGATACAAAATGAATAAAGTGTAATTAATAAAAAAATTAAAAAATAAAAATAAAGCCCACAAACAAACAAAAGATTATGATAAAAATGTTTATTCCTCAAGTGCCTACACTAAAATATCAGAACAATCACAAATAGATGACCTATTGATGCAACTCAAGAATTGAAAAGAAGAACAAACCAAATTCAAACCCAGGAGATAACAAGACACAAAAGCAGAAATTAATGAAATAGAAACAGAGAAAACAATGCAAAGAATCAATGAATCTAAAAGCTGGTTATTTGAGAAGAAAAACAAGACTGAGAGACCCTTGGCTTAACTAACCAAAAGAAAGGACCCAAATTAAGAGAATCATCATGAAAGGGAAACATTACAACAGACACCAAAGAAATTTAGAATTAGTTTCTCTTGCCTTATTGTTACAGCTAGTACTTCTATATTTATAAGATCTGGGGCTAGTGAACAACTCTGTCTTTTTTCTCATTTAATGAGTTCACTTCTAGTCCTTATCCTTTTTCGTTATGTTGGCTGTTGGGTTTGCCAGATTATAGCCTCTTTTATGTTGAGGTATATTCCTTGAGGTATGGTTCTACAAAGAAAGCTACAATCCCCGAAGAAAGCTTTAAAAGCCTGTACTCCATTAAATTGGACAGTTAAAAAGAAATGGATGCATTTCTTTGCTCATTTGAACTACCAAAGTTAATCCAAGCAGAGATCAACAGCCTAATCATATCTATAATAAAGGAGGAAATTGAAAAAAGTAATAAAGATCTTCCTGAGTAAAGAAAGTCTGGGTTCACAGCAGAATTCTACCAAACTTTCAATGAAGAACTATAACCAATACTCTTTAAAGACACACACACGGTATATACTCACTCATATAGCATTATGATATAGGCTAAACCTACTAAAATCTGTACATCTAAAGAAACTAATCAAGAGGGAGGACCTTGACTAAAATGCTCAATCCCCATCCCAAAAGGCAAAGAGGATAGACATCAGAAGAAGAAGAAAACAGAAAACAAGTTAGGAGCCTGCCACAGAGGGCCTCTGAAAGGCTCTGCCCCGCAGACTATCAAAGCAGAAGCTGAGACTTATGGCCAACTGTTGGGCAGAGTGTATTGAATCTTAAGAAAGAAGTGGGAAATAGTAAGATCTGGAGAGGATAGGAACTCCACAAGGAGAGCAACAGAACCAGAAAATTTGAAAACAGGGGTCTTTCCAGAGGCTCATGCTCTAACCAAGTACCATGCATGGAGATAACCTAGAACCCCTGCACAGATGTAGCCCATGGCAGTTTAGTGTCCAAGTGGGTTCCATAGTAACGGGAAGAGGGACTGCCTCTGACATAATCTGATTGGCCTGCTCTTTGATCACCTCCCCCTGAGGGGGGAGCAGCCTTACCAGGCCACAGAAGATGACAATGCAGCCACTCCTTATGAAATCTCTTAAACTAAGAGCAGAAGAAAGGAAAGGGGGACCTCCTCTACCAGTGGACTTGGGGAGGGGCATGCGTGAAGAAGGGGAAGGGAAGGTGGGATTAGGAGGGGAGGAGGGTGGGGTTTATGTGGGGATGCAAAGTGAATAAAATGCAATTAATAAAAGTTAAAAAATACAAAATACAAAATAAAAACAGAAACATAACTCCCAATGGCATTATATACCCAAAGCAGAAAATGATACAACCACAACCACAAAAAAAAACAAACCTACAGCCAGATATTCTTGATGGACAGAGATATAAAAATTCTCAATAAAACACATCTAAGCACATGTCAATATCATATACCATGATCAAGTTGACTTTATCCTTAAAATGCAGGGTTGCTTCAACATACATAACTCAATATATCTAGTAAATCATATAAATGGGCAAAAATCACATGATCATCTCAATTGAGGAAAAAAAGTTTTCTTTGAGAAAATCCAACATACTCTCATTAAGTCCTAGAGAAAGTAGGACTGGAGGGAGGAACACAAATCACCACAATGGAGGCTATGTGTGACAAATCCATCACTAAAGTGGAGAAAATATGAAGCAACCTCATTAAAAATCAGTAACAAAGATAGAGGGCAGAACCAAGATGGTGACTAGCACACAGTTTCTGAGCTGTGGAAGAGCTGAACGTCTGAGTTGGTGAGTGAAAGGACCTCTGAACCCAGGAAAACAATGGTGAGGTTTTCTAAACAACAGAGAACATCACATGAGGTGAGAACTTTGGTCTGGGGTCACCCAGGGGCTTGTTTGGGGAAGGAGAAAAAAATGATCCTTTGATTTCCCGGCACTCCCCTCTCTCAGACCTCCCTCCTCCTCGGCACTCAGTGAGATTCTCAGGGCAGAACTAACTGCCTGGGGTCAGCAGCAGCTGAGGTAGAGCTCCTAGCCCTTCAGCGGCAACTGCCAGCAGTAGTCTTGGAGTCCCAGACCCGTGTGGCACCATCCTCCCAGGGCTCAAGTGTGCTAGCCACCATACTAGCTCCACAGGATCACCCAGCCACTGAATATATGGCCCGCCCAATCCCACAGTGACAGAGAATATGCTATATACTCACCAAAACCAGGCAGAAATGCCATACAAGCTAGGCACACCAGGTGCTGGGCCTCCCAAGCTTGGAGAGCACAGTGGAGAGCCCCTAAAACTTCCCAGAAAGCATCTGGACTGGCAACCCAGTCTCCAGCTACAATGGGACTTTCTAACCTTGCAGCAGAGCAGCACTGAGCTGGCGGGGCACATCAGGCCTTCAGCCTAAAATCAACCAGAGCCAAACCAGAGAGCAGAGAGTCTGGTTACTCCAATCCCTGATGAAGTGATCACCTTGAGAGTGAGTACGCCTTTGCATGTCTGCAGAGCCCCAGATCCACACCCCTTCTAAAATAGAAGCCAAGCATCGGTCCCCTCCCACCCACATATCCACTGTGGGAAAATTAGGGTCACTTGGAACATTGAGGCCCCTGCACTGTGGGGCCAGACCCATGGCACCATCATCCCAGGGTTCAGGGTCTGCTAGCCAACATACTGGCCCCACAGGGTCACTCAGACACTGCACGGCCCGCCCAATCCCTCAGTGACAGATAATACGCTATATACCCACCAGAGCCAAGCAGACCTGCCATACAAGCTAAGCACATCAGGCACTGGGCCTCCCAAGCTTGGAGAGCACAGTGGAGAGCCCCCAGGTTTTACCAGAAAACATCTGGACTGGCATCCCCATCTCCAGCTGCAGCGGGACCTCCTAACCTGGCAACAGCACTGAGCTGGTGGAGCACATCAAAGAAGTAGGGCCAAACCAGAGAGCAGAGAGTCTGGATACCCCGATCCCTGCCAAGTTACCTGCCTCAGAGTGAGTGCACCCTTGAGAATCTGCAGAGCCCCAGATCCAGGCTCCTTCTAAAACAGAAGCCAGGCATCGAACCCCTCCCACCCACATACCCACTTTAGGAAACAGAGGGTCACTTGGGACATTGAAGCCCCTGCTCTGTGGGTCCAATTGAGGAGTTAAGGCAGTTAATGACAGAAATTGCGCCGTGACCATCATAATGCCTGTTACATATACAGTGCAGAGCCTCTCCCACACACTCAAGGGTTCAACATTCTCTATCACTCTGTCCCTCGAGACACACTTCCATGCACACTTCCACACACACACACAAACATACACAAACACACACACACACACTCACCTGCATTTGCCCCTTTCGCGCCTGCGTAATTTTCTCCCACAGGTATAGCTAGCTAGTCCTCAGCACACGCTGAGAACATGGGACCTCTCTCAGCTTCCTGAAGAACTCTCCAGATGCCAGAGAGAGACAGTACCATCTGATCTGCAGAATCCAAAAACAAACAGGGAAGGTTTCAGATAAGCCAATGGCCAGGGGTAGGCGAAGAACACTTCCAACATAAATCAGGACATCATGACCTCACCAGCAACCCCCAAATTTGATGGATACTCCAATTCATCAGAAGCACAGGAAAATGACTTTAAAGCTATGCTAACCCAATTATTTGAGGCTCATAAAGAGTAAACAAACAACTCTCTCAGAACAATAACCATGCAAATTCAGTCAGTTAAAGAGGAGATGACCAAATCTTTCAAAGATTTGGCCAGTCAATTGGAGGTAAAGAAAGAAGAAATAGACAAAATTCTTAAAGAAACACAGGCAAACATAGCCAAACAAATAGAGGCACAAGTAGAGATAAAATTAGTGGCATATAAAAAGGAAATGAACAAAAAAATAGAGACCATCGTAGAGAGACAGGAATCCACATTCAAACAGATGAAGGAAATGGTGCAAGGTGTGAAAACAGAATTAGAATCAATAAAGAAAACACAAACTGAGAAAAGCCTTGAGTTGGAGAACTTTGAGAAAAGATCAGGAACCACAAAGGTAAGCATCACCAACAGAATACAAGAGATGGACGAGAGAATCTCTGGAGCTGGAGATATGCACGCAGAAATTGATACTTCTCTCAAAGAAAAAGTAAAATCAAAAAAGTCCCAAACACAAAATATCCAAGAAATCAAGGATGGCATGAAAAGACAAAATCTAAGAATAATAGGAATTAATGAAAAAGAAGACTCCAGGCTCCAAAGTCCAGAAAATATTTTCAAGAAAATCATAGAATAAAATTTTCCCAACTTAAAGAAAGAGATGTCCATAAATATACAATAGGCCTACAGAACACCAAATAGACTAGACCAGAAAAGAAATACATCAAGTCACATCATAGTCAAAACACTAAATCTACAGAACAAAGAAAAGATATTAAAAGCAACAAGGGATAAAGGCCAAGTAACACATGAAGGTAGGCCTATCAGAATCACACCGGACATCTCATCAGAAACTATGAAAGCCAGAAGAGCCTGGGCAAGTGTCATGGAGACTCTAAGAGATCACATATGTCAACCCAGACTACTATACCCTACAAAGCTTTCAATCAACATAGATGGAGAAAACAAAATATTCCATGACAAAACTAATTTATGCAATATCTACACAGCAACCCAGCCCTACAGAAGATACTAGAAGAAAAACTCCAACCCAATGAAAACAACTTCACCCAAGAAAACATGGCATACAGATAATATCCCAACAAAAAAAGAAAAGAAAACAAGCAATGAAACACAGTAAGACCACCAACTGCAATACAAAAGGAGCTAACATTCATTGGTCACTATTATCTATCAACATCAATGGACTCAACTAGCCAATAAAAAGACACAGACTAACAGGATGGATGCGGAAACAGGATCCAACATTCTGTTGCATCCAAGAAACGTACCTCTGCAACAAAAATAAATACTACCTCAGAGTAAAGGGCTGGAAAAATGCCTTTCAAGCAAACGGACCCAGAAAACAAGCTTGGGTAGCTATTCTAATGTCTAATAAAATAGACTTTCAACCAAAATTAATCAAAAAAAGATGAAGAGGGATACTAGGTTCTTATCAAAGGAAAAATCCACCAAGAGGACATCACAATTCTGAACATCTATCCCCAAATACAAGAATGACTACATTCATAAATGAAACATTACTAAAACTTAAATCACACATCGATCCCAACACCTTGATAGTGGGAAACTTCAACACCCCACTTTCACCAAGGGACAGATCATCTAGACAGAAACCTAATAAGGAAGTAAAGGCACATACATAAATCAAATGGACCTAATAGATGTCTACAGAACTTTCCACCCAAACTCAAGAGAGTACACCTTCTTTTCAGCACCTCATGGAACCTTCTCCAAAATAGAACATATAAGAAGATTGCAATAATCCCCTGTATTCTATCTGACCACCATGGACTAAAGCTGGACCTTAATAGCAATGGAATTAGAAAAAAGCCTACAAGCACATGGAAACTGAACAACTTGCTGCTCAATGATAGCTGGGTTAAGGAAGAAATAAAGAAAGAAATTAAAGACTTCCTAGAATTCAATGAAAATGAAGGTACAACATACCCTAATTTATGGGATACAATGAAAGCAGTGCTCAGAGGAAAATTCATAGCACTAAGTGCTTTCAAGAAGAAATTTGTGACATCTCATACAAGCAACTTAATGGCCCAACTGCAAGTCCTAGAAAAAAAAAAAGCAAATGCACCCAAGAGGAGCAGACGGCTGGAAATAATCAAACTCAGGGCTGAAATCAATCAATTAGAAACAAATAAAAATATTCAAAGAATCGAGGAAACCAACAGCTGATTCTTTGAAAAAAATCAACAAGATAGACAAACCTTTACCCAAACTAACTAAAAGGCAGAGAAAAACTATCCAAATCAACAAAACCAGAACTGAAAAGGGGGACATAACAAAGACACTGAGGAAATCCAAACAATCATTAGGTCAAACTACAAAAGCCTATATGCCATAAAATTAGAAAATCTAAAAGAAATGAACAATTTTCTTGATAGATTCCATTTACCAAAATTAAGTCAAGATCAGATAAAAAGATTGACTAGTCCTATTTCCCACAAGGAAATAGAAGCAGTCATCAACAGTCTCCCTTCCAAAAAAAGTCCTGGGCCAGATGGATTCAGTGCAGAATTCTACCAGACCTTCAAAGACGTGATAACTCCAATTCTCTCCAAACTATTCCACAAAATAGAAGCAGAAGGAACGTTACCAAACTCATTCTATGAAGCCACGGTCACCTTGATACCTAAACCACAAAAAGACCCAACAAAAAAAAGAAAACTTTAGACCTATCTCTCTTATGAACATTGATGCAAAAATACTCAATAAAATACTTGCAAACCGAATACAAGAACACATCAAATATGTTATCCACCATGACCAAGTTAGGCTTCATCCCAGGCATGCAAGGGTGGTTCAACATACGGAAATCCATCAATGTAATCCACCACATAAACAAACTGAAGGAGAAAAACCACATGATCATCTCCTTAGATGCCGAAAAAGCATTTGACAAAGTCCAACACCCATTCATGTTTAAAGTCTTGGAGAGATCAGGGATACAAGGCACATATCTAAACATAGTAAAGGCAATAGACAGCAAGCCTATAGCCAACATCAAACTCAATAGACAGAAACTTAAATCAATCCCACTGAAATCAGGGACAAGACAAGGTTGCCCAGTCTCTCCGTATCTCTTCAACATAGTACTTGAAGTCCTAGCCAGAGCAATAAAACAACTAAAGGAGATCAAGGCGATCCAAATCGGTAAGGAAGAGGTCAAAATGTCACTATTCACAGATAATATAATATATACATGAGTGACCCCAAAAATTCAACCAGAGAACTCCTCCAGCTGATAAATACCTTCAGCAAAGTGGCAGGATACAAAATCAACTCAATAAAATCAGAAGCCCTCCTGTATACCAAAGACAATAGGGCCGAGAAATAAATAAGGGAAACAACACCCTTCACAATAGCCACTGATAACATAAAGTACCTTGGGGTGACACTAACCAAGCAAGTGAAAGACCTGTTTGAGAAAAACTTCAAGTCTCTGAAGAAAGAAATTGAAGAAGATTTCAGAAGATGGAAAGATCTCCCATGCTCATGGATTGGTAGGATTAACATTGTAAAAATGGCCATCCTGCCAAAAACAATCTACAGATTCAACACAATTCCCATCAAAATACCAACTCAGTTCTTTACAGACCTTGAAAAAAAGATTCTCAGCTTTATATGGAGAAACAAAAAACCCAGAATCTCCAAAACAATCCTGTACAACAACAGATCATCTGGAGGTATCTCCATCCCCAATCTCAAGCTGTACTACAGAGCAATAGTAATAAAAACTGCATGGTATTGGCATAGAAACAAAAAGGTGGATCAATGGAACCGAATAAAAGACCCAGAAATAAACCCACACACCTATGAAGACTTCATTTTTGACAAAGAAGCCAAAACCATTCAATGGAAAAAAGACAGCATCTTCAACAAATGGTGCTGTTGCAAATGGATGTCTACATGCAGAAAAATGAAAATAGATCCATATTTATCACCCAGCACAAAACTAAAGTCCAAGTGGATCAAAGACCTCGACTAAAACCAGATACTCTAAATCTATTAGAAGAAAAAGTGGGGAACAGCCTAGAACTCATTGGCACAGGAGACAACTTCCTGAACAGAACACCAACAGCACAGGCTCTAAGAGCAACAATAAATAAATGGGACCTCATGAAGCTGAAAAGCTTCTGTAAAGCAAAAGACACTGTCATCAAAACAAAACGAATGCCTACAGATTGGGAAAGAATCTTCACCAACCCTCTATCTGACAGAGGACTAATATCCAGTATATATAAAGAACTAAAGAAGCTGAAAAGCAACAAACCAACTAATCCAATTAAAAAATGGGGAACAGAGCTAAACAGAGAATTCTCAATAGAGGAATGTTGAATGGCAGAGAAACACTTAAAGAAATGCTCAACCTCATTAGCCATTAGGGAAATGCAAATCAAATGACCCTGAGATTTCACCTTACATCCGTCAAAATGGCCAAGATGAAAAACTCAAGTGATAACACATGCTGGAGAGGTTGTGGAGAAAGGGGAACTCTCCTCCATTGCTGGTGGGAATGTAAACTAGTACAACCACTTTGGAAGTCAATCTGGCGCTTTCTCAGACTATTAGGACTAGTGCTTCCTCAAGACCCAGCTATTCCATCTTAGGCATATATCCAAAAGATGTTCAAGTACACAATAAGGACATTTGCTCCAGCATGTTAGTAGCAGCTTTATTTGTAATAGCCAGAATCTGGAAACAACCCAGATGTCCATCAACGGAGGAATGGATACAGAAATTGTGGTATTTTTACACAATAGAATATTACTCAGCAATCAAAAATGAGGAAAT